TCTCCCGCATACTCACACATACACTATCTCTCTCTCTCTCTCACACACACACTCACACACACTCGCACACACACACGCGCACACACACACACACACACACACACACACTCACACACACTTAGAACTTACATTTATAATTCATATTATGTGGGAAGTCCTCAAGGCTGTATTTCGTGTGACTCTGTCTGATCGGAGATGGACGTTTTAATGCCCCAGCTTTGGCCTCCTAAATAACGATACCTTCTAACAATAACAGTAGTATTTCTAGTATTCTAGCGTTACTCCCAAGACATAATACTATCCCGGCCAGTGTTTCCCTGTGTTCCTGTTTGTCTCAATTTACCGGTCGTTTGATCACGGTTCTTTGGCCTATCTGACGTGTTGCCAAGTTGCCCGTGCGTATTAATAGTATTGTACCCAGCGCCCCCGTTGGCACGATCGGATCGGACCAGATCGGTTCGGTTCGGTTCGGTTTGGTTTGGCAGGCGGGGCTAGCCAGATTCAGGGCGCAAAGCGACCATCGTGGCACAAACCAATCGCCTGACCAAAGATTCTATACTACTAGAAAGAATCTTTGGCCCGACTGGCAGCCTCAAAATAAGAACCAAACACCAAGCGCGTTTGTTTTCAGGCTGCGAATCGGACGGCGATCGGTTGGCGATCGGTTGGCGATCGGTTTGTTGATCACCCAATGGGCTCTCTCTATAACCCTGCAGTGCAGCCACGGATTTGCACAAACGAACGCTGACAAGCTAAATACCCTGAGGGCGCCTGGACTAGGGTACTCCGGGCCAGAGGTGCTAGGTAAAGGCGGGCCGCTCTGTGGGTAGGATGAAGAGTGGGGCGAGGGGGGGGGGGGTGTCATGATAGTCGAAGCAGACTTTGTGCCTTTGAGGCTAGAGAAGTGAGCAGAGTTAGTCTGAATCCCCTTTTGGACTTTTCTGCTGTTGACATCCACCCCTTGGCGCTCATCATATGACCTTATGCAGTTACGAGCGCCGTAAAACCGTACTAAAACTAAAGACTGTGAGAGCTTCTCTTCCCTCACCAGGGGCTCGCAGTTCTAGCTGCATGATGCGGTGCAGTTTCATGCAAAATGTCACACTTTTTCAGACCCCTCCCGCCTTGCGTGACTTTTGACATTTGCAAGGGTCAATAAGGCAGCCGGAGACCGCGGCTCAACTCGGAAATAAACCAGGGGGAATCGTCCGCGCGATACCAGTAGTGTCGACTGGTATCGAGTGGGACTAGTAGTTTGCGATGTTTCAAAAGTTTGAGAGGGGTGTATCCTGCTGATTTTATTGATTGTTTTGAAATGTTTTGCCTGGTGATAATAGAAAAGGAAAAGCTGTTTGTACGAAAGTTCTGAAAGTGTTGACTGCTTTGGCGAGGTGGGAGAGGGATGGTGGAAAGGGGGGGGGGGGGTTTTGTTGTTGGTTTTTGTTGTTGTATTTGTTTTTGGTGGTGTTTTTTTTGTTGTTTTTTTTTTTTGGGGGGGGGGGGGGTTAGTGGGGTTTTGTTTTAGATGGACCTATTCGGATTGCAATGTGACAGATATTCGGAGAGACAAAAAGTATCGTGGTGCGTTAAGACTGAACTTCCGGCGACTTCTCCGTGGTGCTGAGATGTTCCACACGTTCCGGGGTGGGCGGAAATCACATCTCTGTCTCTGTCTGTCTCTCCGTCTCTCTCTCTGTCTCTCTGTCTGTCTCTCTGTCTGTCTCTCTGTCTGTCTCTTTCTGTCTCTCCGTCTGTCTCTCTGTCTCTCTCTCTCTCTGTCTCTCTCTCT